GGGGGTTGTGCAGACCACGTGGTGCGAAGATCCATCCTCGGCGGTGAAACAGCCCAGCTGCAAGCCTGGAGCATCGGCTTGATTGCAGCCGTGCTATCGCGAAGGCCTCAGGCGGGCGCGCATGATTGGGCCTGCCCTTTTTGCCAAGCGGGGGGGGGTCCCGAAGGGGCATTCTCAAGTGCCGCTGAGAAACCACACCTCCGATCGTCGATAAAAAAACGACGGACGGTCTCCAGGCCGCGGGGCCGTCAAAAACCGACTCAAGACGAACAACTGGTCCCGGGAAAGGGGTCCAGCCTTTAGATGTCTCTCCACTTTTTGCGGGAAGGTGCAAGCATAAACTTATACTTTTGCTGCGCCTGAGGGTATGGAGAATCAACTAGACCAATGGCATGGAGCTCACCCCGCTCGTCCTCCCGATCATCATCAGGGTGATTCCTGGGCTTCCTGCCTGCATCGCCCCCCCCCCCCCGCCGACGCTCTCCCTGGCCTCCCGCTCTTCTTCTCTGCGGGCCGCCGGGGGCCTCTCGAGGCCTCCTGCCCTCAGAACTCCAAAGGCCCACGGGTCGCACGGCGCCGAAGTGGCTTTGCCAACCTCCTCGGGCGCAGCGCGGCGACCAAAGCGGAAGCCGTGGCCCTCAGCAGGCGCGGCCGCGGGAAACCGTTGCTCCAGCGTGTGGACTCGGCGCGGCCGCGAGGACGCGGCCTTCCAAAGGAGCTTTCGGGGCGGCCCCCCGACGGCCGTCGCGCGGAAGGTTCGCGCGGTCGACCCGGAGCCCCTGCTGGAAGGCCGCCCAGGGTGCCCAAGGAGCTGCGCAGGCACACCGCCGCGCTGAGGGGCGCGTTTCGCGGCGCGATGAGGGCGGCCACGGACAGGGGCCACTTCGGCGCCCTGGCCCCCTGGCTGTGGCACCCGTCGTCTGTTCGTGGTCATGCGGGCACGAGCCTGGGGATGCCAGGCGCCCTTTTCCCCAGCCGCGCCGCGCTTCCATTCCCGCCATGTGGCGTGGCAAGCGTTCCGCTCGCGGGCAACAACGTCCGCGTTGCCGCATTCGCGTTCGAAATGCGAGTCCAGCGCTACCCGCGCGGGAGAATGCGGCACCAATCTCAAAATCCCAGCCAGGTGGGCAGAACAAAGTCCTGCGAACCCATGATAACGACAGGGGTTTCAGTCAGTGATAAAAGCCCACAGTGAGCAATATTCCCGAAACCCCCCTCTTCAGTCAGTGACGAAACCCCCAACGTAACATATTTACCAGAACCCCCTATGCACTGGAAAACCTACGATTTTCCTGGGCGGCCCCTGGGTGGGATCTTGAGGTGGCGTTCTACACTCCAGGGCACTTGCGACACCTATGACTGTGAGCCCCTTCGTGCCCAAGGAGTAGAGAACGGGGGTCACAGCCAGGAGTCCCGAAGTGGCACTTATCCGTGACCACCCCCGAACTCGTCACTCATCGCGCTGCGACACGCGTCATCTTTGCGACGGGTGGTTTGCGCAGCTCCCTGGGCAATTTGGGCGGCTGTCCAGCAGGAGCTACGAAGTCGACCGCGCGAACACGCAGCGCAGCGATCCTTCGGGGAATCGTCCCGAAGGCTTGGCTGCAGCAGCGTGGAGAGGAGCACCCGCGGCTGAGCCCGACGGCCACCTCCGCTGTGGTCGCCGCGCTGGCGGCCAGGCCGTCTGCCAGGCAGGCGCCCGAGAGGGTCGACGACCACTTATGTGCTGTGCGGCCCGTGGGGCCTGGGAGTTCTGCAGGCAGGAAGCCCCTGGAGACCCCCGGCATCCTCCGGAGGAGCAGAGCGGGAGGCAGCACAGGGCGGAGGTGGGGAGGCACGGAGGGAGGGTGGAGATCCCCCTGACTACGGTCAGGAGGCTGAGCGGGGAGACCGCGAGGGCAGGAGGGTGAGCCAAGGCGCGAAGAGGAGCAGGGGAGGGGGAGGAAGTACAGAGGGCAGAGGAACGGTGGGCGAAGAGGCTGAGTATGAATGTTCATGTTTTTTTGGACTGCGAGCGTTCTCGAATACGGTGCGACGGACGCGGTGACCTACTTCGCGTGGGGGTGCTTGCAAAGACCCGGGCTGAACACGGCGATCACATCGACGGTCAGCGAAGCGAGCCTGGGCCTCGCCACAACTGACCGGGCAACCTGGCTCATATCGCTGACATACGGAAAACCAACTTCAGCAGACGCCTCTGGTTGCGTTCTTCCAGTCTTGCGCGACACAAGGTGATGCAAAAGAGGAGGACGAGGAAGAGGAGGGGGAGAAGCATGAGACTGAAACGCGTCGGGGTGCAAGGCGGATGGAAAGCGGGATGACAACTAGGCAGGAGTGCGAAGGATCCAGACCTCCGACAGTCCACGAGGGGTCGGGGCATCTGGGGCCGCGACTTGCAGCAAAAAATCGCATCGCCGGATATCTGGGCACGCCTCGGAGGAAGATGCCTCGAAGGAGGCAGCATGGCGCCGGGGCAGCCCAATACGCCTCCCAAGAGGGCCTCGGGGCCGCCCAAGGCCACCCCGGTGCTCGATCCGTGGATCCCGCGCGTGAGCGCCAGATCCATGGATCGGCGCGCGAATTGGGCGACGGAGCGCGTCGCGTTCGAATGGAAAAGGGGTCCGTCGCTCATCCGCCGGGGGGTTTGGGAGGGCGTCCCGAGGCTTGCCTCGGAGGCGGGCGAGGGGGGGGGGGAAGGGAGAAGGAGAAAGCCTCCTCAGAACGGCGGGGCTTCTCGCAGACGCCCTCGCGCCTTCTGAGGGTTTTTTTGTTATGTTCCTCTGCCTTCGGGGAAGGGCTCAGAAACGCTCTCTCAAAGGCCCGAGGCCTCCCAAGCCTTCTGAGAATCGGGGGCGCGCAAACATGGATTAGCGATCCATGGATTTGGCGCGCGGCCGCCAAATCCATGGATCGGGGGAGGTGCCCTCCCCAAGATGCGGCGGGTATCGCCCCGCTCGGCGGCGGAAATCCGTGATGCCCCCATGGAAACGGGACCCGTCGCCGATCCACGCCCCCCTGATCCATGCTTGCAGTTGCCTGAGAGAAGGCCCGCCCCTTCTCACTTCCTCCCCCCGGACTCGCCGCCGATTGCCCCCTCGCGGCCCCGGCTTCCCGGAGAGGCGGGTGCGCCAGCAGGCCGAGGGGGGGGGGAGCCCTGGAGCTCGCCCCCGTGCCTGGCTGCCGCAGGCGCGCGTGGCGGCATCCCTCCGGGTCTGCTGCGAGAAGTGCCCCCGGCCCAAGTAGCAGCGCACACACAGCAACCAAACAAACAAACCAAACCAAACCAAACCAAACCAAACCAAACAAACAATTACATCAAACAAGACGGGACACCAAATTCTGGTCTCGAAGCGCGAGTTGGCTGCGCAGACCACGATGCAGCAATCGGCACGCTTGCACGAAAGTGTGGCGCCATGCCCTTGGTATTGGGCCACAACCTACAATTAAGCGAGGTACGTCTTTAGAACCCCCTCCTAATAGTAGAAAATAATAATCTTCTCGACGCCCTTATTGACAGACTGGGGTCCCACACATCGTGGAAGATAATGATTTCTCCGCGGCAGCCGCCGCGCAACAACGATGACGACGACTACGACTACGATCACGATTACGGCTACGGCGACGACTACGACGACGGATGAGCAGGAGGAGGAGGAGGAGGAGAAGAAGAAGAAGAGGAGTAGGGGGGGAGGAGGAGGAGGAGGAGGAGGAGGAGGAGGAGGAGGAGGAGGAGGAGGAGGAGGAGGAGGAGGAGGAGGAGGAGGAGAAGGAAGAGGAGGAGGAGCAGGAGGAGGGGCGGAGTTCATTCCCAGCCAAGGGAAACAAGGCAGGATCCCCAAAACTAACAATCTCCCTCGGTTATAGGCAATCAAATGTGAACCCTACCCCTGCGGGTCCGGTTTTCTGAAAGCTTGGCTCGGGCTCCTCAAAGTTTGAAGGACGCCTGCAGCCGCATGAACCTCAGCGAGGGTGTTCGATAGCACGGCGTCGATTATACCAGCAGGTGTAGACATCGCTGGTGGTCGCAGTACATATGCATTTCCCATGTCGCAGGGAGGGAGCACTTCCATGCAGTGGGCCCTCAGCCTGCGCAACACATTCCACACTGTGAGCAGGCATAAAGAAGTTCGGGCGCACAAGCCTTCGCGTCCCCCACCTCGTATAGCACGAGCACGTCTTCCGTCCGGATGGTCTCGAGGCTCTCTTTTTCTTGACACGAAGTGGAATCTCAAATCACGGAGGCACTTCTCTCCAGGAGCTCTGATCACGGAGACACATGGCAGGAGCATATCCACACAAATGAGCAATGATGCGATTGGCTCAGGATGCGTTCCAAGAGCTCTGCGGTACCCAGCGGCACTGGTTTCCGAAGCCCATGCGGAACGAGACGACATCCAGCAGGCCCTGAAAATTTTGGAAACCTTGCAGTGCTTCCCTTCGCCCTATTTTTCTTCTCCCCCGTGAACTGCCAGCCGGCGCTGGGCGTGCTCGGGCCCCCGCCCCCAGACCCCCTTTGGCAGAGAGGGAGGCCCGCGGAGACGGCTCCTCCTGGGCACCCGGGGGACCCCCGGGGGACCGGCCGTGGCTCACGGTCCCGGGGGCGGAAGGCAGAACAAACAAAAAACGAAGACGGCCTGTGCTGTCTTCGCTTTCTTTGTCTTCTGTCTTCCGGCATTTCTGTCTTCGGGTTCTTCTGGCCTCTTGCTGTCTTTCGAGGTGGGCCATTTTCTTGCCGCAGCGGCGAGAACCATAGCCGCGTCCCGAGGCGGACGTGGGGCGCACGTGGCTGCATTGGGCACGGCGGGCGGCGGGAGAGAGGAGGGTGCGCGGGTGGAGAGGGCAACCAGTGGGGCTGGAGGAAGCTCGAAGGAAACAAAAGGAAAAACTGGCAGCTCAGCAGCAGCATCAGCAGCATCAGCATCAGCATCAGTGACATCGTCATTGTTGCCCTCAGCATCGTCGGCATCTTCAGTCATCGTCGTCATCATCATGTTGATTATCAGCATCGATAATTCTGGTCGTCATAACCATCATCATCATCACCATCATCACCATCACCATCACCACCACCACCACCACCACAACCATCATCATCATCATCATCATCAGCAGCAGCAGCATCATCATCACCATCATCACCATCATCATCGTCATCATCGTCATCATGATCACCATCACCATCATGTCATAATCGCAATCAGCATCAGTATCATCAGTTGCAGCGGCATTGTGATCATCACAATCATCATCATCATCAGTATCATCATCATCATCAGCATCATCATCATCATCATCATCATCATCATCATCATCATCATCATCATCATCATCATCATCATCATTATCAACATCATCAACGACATCATCATCAGAATCAGCAGCATCACCATCATCGTCATAATCAGCATCAGCATCATCATCAGCATCATCAGCATCATCAGCATCATCAGCATCATCATCCGCATCATCATCAGTAGCATCATCATCATTAGCGTCAGTTTCATCGTCGTCATCATCATTACCACCCTCATCAACATCACCACCACCATCATCAGCATCATCATCAGCGTCATCATCGTCATCATCATCATCATCATCAGCATCATCATCCGCATCCTCATAATCGTCCGCGTATGTTTCACCGTCGTCGTCATCAACATCATCACCATCAACATCATCATCAGCAGCAGCATCAGGACCAGCATCAACATCATAATCCTCATCATCATGCTCGTAATCATCATCCTTCTTCACCTCCTCCTCATCATCATCATCATCATTATCATCCCCCTCGTCCTCCTCCTTACCCTCTTCTTCCTCCTCCTCCTCCTCCTCCTCCTCCTCCTCCTCCTCGTGGTCCTCCTCCGCCTCACATACTCCTCCTCGCCTGATTTCCCCTCATCCTCCTCCTTCTCCTCCTCCTTCTCCTCCTCCTGTTACTCCTGGTCCTTCTCCGTCCTCCCACTCCAATCCCCCATCCTCCTCCTGTCCCTCCTCCCCCTGATCCGCCTCCTCCCCCTCGTCCTCTTCATAGCTCAGCAAAACGATAACTGCAGAAGAAGCACAACGTCACGCGGAGGACAGAACACAAACGACAAGCGCTCGAAGCCGAGCCGTTGGTTAAGGAGCCCACAGAACAGGACACCCCGCCACCCAAGCTGGCGCTCGCCTGTACGGAGTGCGCTTTCACCCGCGTCGAGACACACACTCTGAGACACGGCCTTCGAAGCACACGCGGACTGAGGCGTCGTCAGATCTGGCACAACAACGGGCTTACGAAGCACAGTATGTGGACCGAGCCATTGGCTAAGGAGCCCACAGAAGAGAACACCCAGCCACCCAAGCCGGCGCTCGCCCATATTGGGTGCACTTTGACCCGCATCGAGATACGCACCCTGAGACGCGGCCTTCGAAGCACCCGCGGACTGAGGCGTCGTCAGATCTGGCACAACAACGGGCTTACGAAGCACAGTATGTGGACCGAGCCATTGGCTAAGGAGCCCACAGAAGAGAACACCCAGCCACCCAAGCCGGCGCTCGCCCATATTGGGTGCACTTTGACCCGCATCGAGATACGCACCCTGAGACGCGGCCTTCGAAGCACCCGCGGACTGAGGCGTCGTCAGATCTGGCACAACAACGGGCTTACGAAGCCCAGTATGTGGACCGAGCCATTGGCTAAGGAGCCCACAGAAGAGAACACCCAGCCACCCAAGCCGGCGCTCGCCCATATTGGGTGCACTTTGACCCGCATCGAGATACGCACCCTGAGACGCGGCCTTCGAAGCACCCGCGGACTGAGGCGTCGTCAGATCTGGCACAACAATGGGCTTACGAAGCACAGTATGTGGACCGAGCCATTGGCTAAGGAGCCCACAGAAGAGAAAACCCAGCCACCCAAGCCGGCGCTCGCCCATATTGGGTGCACTTTGACCCGCATCGAGATACGCACCCTGAGACGCGGCCTTCGAAGCACCCGCGGACTGAGGCGTCGTCAGATCTGGCACAACAACGGGCTTACGAAGCACAGTATGTGGACCGAGCCATTGGCTAAGGAGCCCACAGAAGAGAACACCCAGCCACCCAAGCCGGCGCTCGCCCATATTGGGTGCACTTTGACCCGCATCGAGATACGCACCCTGAGACGCGGCCTTCGAAGCACCCGCGGACTGAGGCGTCGTCAGATCTGGCACAACAACGGGCTTACGAAGCACAGTATGTGGACCGAGCCATTGGCTAAGGAGCCCACAGAAGAGAACACCCAGCCACCCAAGCCGGCGCTCGCCCATATTGGGTGCACTTTGACCCGCATCGAGATACGCACCCTGAGACGCGGCCTTCGAAGCACCCGCGGACTGAGGCGTCGTCAGATCTGGCACGACAATGGGCTTACGAAGCACAGCATGTGGACCGAGCCATTGGCTAAGGAGCCCACAGAAGAGGACACCCAGCCACCCAAGCAGACGCTCGCTCGCCCATATTGGGTGCGCTTTGACCAAA